ACATAGAAGAGGAGGAGGAGGAGGAGGAGTTTGGATTTGATATCCCACTTTATCACTACCCGAAGGAGTCTCAAAGCAGCTAACATTCTCCTTTCCCTTCCTCCCCCACAACAAACACTCTGTGAGGTGAGTGGGGTTGAGAGACTTCAGAGAAGTATGACTAGCCCAAGGTCACCCAGCAGCTGCATGTGGAGGAGCGGAGACATAAACCCGGTTCACCAGATTACGAGTCCACCGCTCTTAACCACTACACCACACTGACTGAAGTGTTCAGTACTCCTATGAATCCAAGCATGGAACATGAGAGAGACATGTCAGCTGGACAACAGTTCAATAGGCTGAGGTATTATTAGGAGTTTTTGTTGGGTTGGTTGTTGCTGTTGTTGCTGTTACTTTTTTGTATCTTCATTTTGTATCTTATGATTGGTGTATAAATTGTTCGATTCAGTACGTACCTTTTGATGTTTTGTTTGTTGTTATGATATGTTTGTAGTTATGAGATTTTTCATATGTTCTCAGCCACTTTGAGCATGGTTTTAACCTTGGAAAGGTAGCATGCAAATAAAGTGATTGGCTGACTGATCATTTAATTTTTTTATGGACCTCTGTTGAACATGGTTCCTTGGAGCCATTCCAAACTGTAGGGCAAATCACCCATCACTTGGTCTCCTGAAGATGCAGATAAAACTTAAGACCTCGAGCTTCCAGCAAAAAGATTAATCTTGGCAAGAAAATATGGAATGTGCATTTCCTGATGAATGACTGAAACAAACAAACAAAAGATGGAGTGTGCAGAAAGTATTGGGGCAACTGACATCTTCAGTCAAAGTAATGTATTTGATTCATTTTTCTTCAGGTAAAAGCAAAGTTTGCTCAGCAAGGGAACCATCTGCTTCAGCCTTAGAGTTGACAAATAGCTAATTATCTTTCTCTCCCGTAACAACAAATCAACGGGGGTGGCTTGTGCAACCTGCATACAGCATGAACTCTTCTGATTCATGTTGCTTAATAAATGCATATTAAGCATTTGTCCTCTTTCGAACAAATGAGACAAAATGTGGTGTGCCAAGTCAAAGCAGAGACAGGCATACGAAATGTATTTATGTGTGCATGTCTTGTGCAACCAAATCTGGGTGGAGTCATGCAGATCACTGATATGCCACGTTTACATGGTAGTAGATGGAGAGTAGATGGAGAGCTGGACCATAAAGAAGGCTGAGCGCCAAAGAATTGATGCTTTTGAATTATGGTGCTGGAGGAGACTCTTGAGAGTCCCATGGACTGCAAGAAGATCCAACCTATCCATTCTTAAGGAAATCAGCCCTGAGTGCTCACTAGAAGGACAGACCGTGAAGCTGAGGCTCCAATACTTTGGCTGCCTCATGAGAAGAGAAGACTCCCTGGAAAAGACCCTGATTTTGGGAAAGATGGAGGGCACAAGGAGAAGGGGACGACAGAGGACAAGATGGTTGGATAGTGTTCTCGAAGCTACCAGCATGAGTTTAACTAAACTGCGGGAGGCAGTGGAAGACAGAAGTGCCTGGCGTGCTCTGGTCCATGGGGTCACGAAGAGTTGGACACGACTAAACGACTAAACAACAACAACAGATGGACTTTAAATTTATCCTGAGTTCAAATTAGATGCCAGGATAGGCAGAGCCTGATTTCAGAAATTGCAACAATATTATGGTCTTTGCAGAGTAACCATCTATGTCCAGAGGGTGAAACTCATTTCTTTCTCATATTTGTACCTTGATTTTTGCCCAGCAGAATCCCCAACAATTGCAATAACCAACCAACCAATTTCAAAGCAAAATAAAAATAAAATTGGAGCAGCTACAACTATATAAATGTATACATCCCTGGTTTACCCTATTCCTCCACCAAGTTGTTCAGGGTGGTCTACATGGCAAGTATCTCATATTTGTTGGCATCCATCTGTCTTGAGAGACAATGGAGTGTGCCTCCAGGGGTGAAGTCAAACCACTATGTTAGCAGCACTGAAGTGACCTCCTTGGGCTCAAGCCAGGGCAGTGTGTATGGATGTCTTGGTTTGCCAAACAACAAGACTCCTCTCTTGACCTCCCTGATCTAATACTCTGTTCAGCTATAGCATACTGACCATAATATTCTGATACAGCAAGGATCATAATCAAAATTGCAGGGTGAGGAATCCAGTGGTACTGCTCTACTAAAATGCTTCTAACTTACAGTCACTTGTGCATTCCCACCTCTACACAAGCACAGGAGATGTGAAATTATGTTAGCCTGTGTTTACCCCAGCTAGTGTGAAATTAAGGAAAGAACTCCTGGTCTTGTAGCGACCCAAATTCAACACTCATTGAATCCTGGCAACATATGAGTGTTTGAATTGATTAGCCTTCATCCCCCCCCCTTTTCCCTCCACTAATGGACACACACAGATGCCACCTTGATAAACAAAGCACCCCTCTCTCACACACACAGACACCAAATTCTTTGGGAGGAAACCCCAACCCTTCAATAGGCAAAGAAAACAGATTTTAATTAACCTTGATTCAAAGAAAATTACTTGAAGTCCTACAGAAATCAACAGAACAAGCCAGTAGCAAGTACGATTTCATTAATTTCAATTGCATTTAAGTATCAACATTTCTCTCTGGATCAGGGTCATTATTTAGAATTTGGTAGCTGCTGTTTCCCAATATAATTATTGGCATTAAAAGCTTTCCGTTGTGAGTAAGATTAAGCCAAACATTCCAACAGAGCTGAACATCACAGCAAAAAGCATTGTTACATGGAAGAAGAACTAACTCTAAGAAAGTGTAATTTAGCCTAAACTGATTTGTTGTACCATCATGATATTCTGTATCTTAATAAAAATAAGGAAGCGGAATGACTAGCACAACCCTACCCCAAAGTAACCCCCACTGTGACTGGGATTTACTCCCAGTGATAATTACTCCCAAATAAGACTACATCCCTAATTTCTTCTGAGTTCAGCTTCAAATGTCCTTTATGGCCAGAATCACTGCTAAAAACAGAATTAAATCATGTACACTGTAGACCAGCAGATTCATTCACATAATTTATTGCATAGCCTCCTGCAACTAAAGCTTTGCCTGTGCACCACAAACCATTAAGTGTTAGTTAACTGTGCATATGCACTCGACAGATAGCTCAGAGAGATATTCATTGTGTTATAAAATGCCACTGCCAAGTTCACTGGATGGGAACAAATGTGGTTTTAAGTACAAATGTATTTTTGCCTTGCCAATAAGAGTTATGCATTTAAAAAGTGCCTTAAAGAAACCCAAACATTATTGTTAAAGTGTGGTCCTGTGCATGTCTACTTAGAAGTGAGCCCCACCAATTTCAATTTGTCTTCCTCCCAGGCTAAGTGCGTAGAGGATAGTATCTTTAGTGCACTTATTTGTGAATTTCTAGAAGACTCACAACAAGGTAGCACACTCTACATTAAAGCAATCTACAATGCACTTAAATTCAAAACAACGAAAGCACTCATAAATGAACTACAGTCTCAGAAAGTTACAGCAGCAGAAGAATAAAAAGGATTGAGAAACCTCCAAAAGTCCAAGAGGGGGCCGAGCATGAAAAATCTTTAGGAGTCGGGAATTAGAAAGCCATGAAAAAATGGTCCCCGTCCTTCTAGTCAGCATCGTGACTGCAGTATGATGAGCAATGAAGGCTAGTCTTCAAAGGTTAATGAGGCACTGCCTCACCAACCTCAATCTGCCCCCAGCCAACCCCCTGCCCCCAGCCTGCTTTTTACAACTTGTCCAGGAGGCAGTGCTAGCCACAAACTCCTTCCTCCTATCACATTGCCTTTTGGACACTCAGCAGTGAGGAAGATGGAGAGATTATGAGAATTAGTTGGCTCCATTGATAGTAGTAAGGTAAAGGACCCTGGATGGTTAAGTCCAGTCAAAGGCAACCATGGGGTTGCAGTGCTCATCTCGCTTTTAGGCCAAGGGAGCTGGCATTTGTCCACAGACAGCTTTCCGGGTCATGACTAAACTGCTTTTGGCACAACGGAACACCGTGATGGAAACCAGAGCGCAGGGAAACACCATTTACCTTCCCACCGCAGTGCTACCTATTTATCTACTTGCAATGGTGTGCTTTCGAACTGCTAGGTTGGCAGGAGCTGGGACAGAGCAATGGGAGCTCACCCCATCATGGGGATTCAAACTGCTGACCTTCTGATTGGCAAGCCCAAGTGGCTCAGTGGTTTAGACCACAGCGCCACCCTTGTCAAAATTTATTGTAGGCTTTGGGTACACCTCCTATTGGACTCCTTTGCCTTCCTCAGTACCGGTTCCAATGGCCACTACCTACCACTGATGGATGATGAGTCACACAACATCAGTTTCCATCTGTGTCACAGCCTCTTTATGGGGGAGCAGATGTTCCCTTACAATATCCTGGACTCCCCCAAACCTGGAGACAGTTCAGCAGTCAGCGCCTTGGTTGCAGTGAGTCCACCATGTTGACATGCAGACTTCCAAAAGATATCAGGTCAGTCTTTCAATGGCAAAACATATGACTGCAATTTATTTAGGCGCAATTACCCAGTAGTAAACCCTGCCAAGAGTAGCAGGACTTACTTCTGAGTAGACACATGCATAGGAGTGTGGTGTTAGTTTACATCACCACATTTTCTGCGGTCAGCATTTTGTCACCGTTGCTTGCAGTGTTGGGGCAAGCATATTTCCCAAAGATAAATGGAATATGCATCATTTTCAAGAGTGTTTTTTCTGTGGCAGACAGATCACAGCATGATACTGCTGATCATCAGCTCTCTCCTGCCTGCACCGTCCTGGCCTCCCTCAATAAAGGGACAAAGAATTGTCAGGAAAGCAGAACCAGATCAGAAAATACAGCGACAACAGCAACCATAACACTTCACCTCGTCTCATGTTTTAGTAAAAATTAAGGGGATCAGATGCGGATGGCACGAGCAGCGATGCCAATAAAATCATTGACTGGAAGACACTTACCATATTTATTGATGACACGGGGCCAATGCTATTAACATAAATGTCAACATCAATGACAGTTGGTTTCACTGTGAAAGAAAGAAAGAAAAAAAAAGCAGCATTTAATAGTGCCCTGGAGACAACACAGGGCATCATGTTTAACATTTCTGTAATTATAGCCTTCCCATCTCAAATCTGTTTTGAAACAACAGCACAGCACAGACCATCTCCTCCCCCCTCCAAGAACTCTTCTAAAATCCTCTCTCTCTTTTTAAGCAACAGCTTGGGAATGAATTCACATTGTGTATACTCGGGCGTACAGGACTCTGTAGTCCTCCTTTCTTTCTCTCTGGAGCCACATTTGGAACTCCATAACTCAATGGAGGGGGCTCCTTTTGTGGGCTGGCCTCCTCACCATCAGCCAGTCCCTCAGTCCATCTGCAACTCCTCCTGTTCCCACCCTCTGGATGGAAGACCCTGAAACTGACTCAATCTGCCAGGGATCAAAAGAGACATTGTATCATGGAAAGCTTAGAGGATATACCAATCAGAAAGCTAAACATGAACTTGATTGTTTCTCTTTCAGAGGGTTGTTTGCTGTGTTGAAATGTTGTGACTATTTGTGGACTCTACGGTAATTTGTTTGCGTTGTAGAGTTTAAAATACCGTGCTACGTTGACTGATAGCTTGCTTTTCTGAGCATAACTGGAAACTGCTTTGTGACCATTCGGTGGTGAAAAGCACTATGCAAATGTTGGAAATAAAACAATAAAAGAACAGTAATTGGATACTTCTGCCTCTGCCTAGACACAACTAAATCCAGTGCCACCTAGTGACTAAACTATATATAGTATCACTAGCCACACAGGCTGTGAATGCACCATACATTCAAAGTTCATTTAAAGCACACAAACAACCGAAGAATCTTGCAGACTGGAGTTTACCTCACACAGCTGTACAATTCCGAGCACCCTTAAAAATTAAAGTTTCCAGGAAATTGGGGGATGGGGTGTTTTAAATGTGTGTTAAATGTAGAGTGCATATACAGAAATAGACTACCATGGACACCTCCACATAAGGGCTGAAACAGAATGCCCCCCATTTTCCTATAGTATTTTGGAGCTGGGAAATGGGGTGGACACTTGGTCTATTTGTCCATGTTTCATAAAGCTGGTGTGGTCTCTTATAGTAATGCCCCCTACTATTAGAAGCTACCGATTGGCTTCAGGGAGACTCCCAAGGTAATGCAGAGGCTGATTGAAAAAGGGCAGCCTTGTAGAAATACCCCCACCATCACTGCTTTATCTGGTGCAGTTTTTTTAAACCAGACTGAGCAGATGGCAGCCCTCTGTTACCTGGAACCACCCTCCCCTTAGACAGCATGAGACCAGGGTGGCTGGGAGGTGGCCATCACAGTAGGTATAATTCACCATTGACTCACAACAATAAAAAATGAGAATAGAATTTATTGCTGTACTAAAACATTATAATAACAAAGGGAGGGTGAAGTAAATATTGTGCCATGAAATATATATATATGGTAATGAATTCTGCCAAATACTATTGATCAATCTACTGACGATAATGATAGTGCAAGAAATGCCTCGATCCACTTGAATAATTTTGCTTGGTCCATGAAGTACATGGCTTGTAAGATGCATTAGCATTGGTGGTGCACTGTTCTTGTTTAGGTAGGTAAAGGTAAAGGACCCTTGGATGGTTAAGTCCAGTCAAAGGTGACTATGGGGTTGCGGCGCTCATCTCGCTTTCAGGCCAAGGGAGCTGACGTTTGTCTGCAGGCAGCTTTCTGGGTCATGTGGCCAGCATGACTAAACTGCTCCTAGCACAACGAACACCATGACAGAAACCAGAGTGCATGGAAACACAGTTTACCTTCCCGCCACAGCGGTACCTATTTATCTGCTTGCACTCAGTGGTGTAGCGTGGGTTGTCAGCACCCGGGGCAAGGCAAGTAATTTGTGCCCCCTAACCCGTGGATTTGCGCCCCCTAACCTGTGGATTTGCCCTAACCCCAGATGTTGCTCCCGGTGCGGCTGGCCCCCCCTGCACCCCCCACGCTACGCCACTGCTTGCACTGGCATGCTTTTGAACTGCCAGGTTGGCAGGAGTTGGGACAGAGCAATGGGAGCTCACCCCATCGTGGAGATTCAACCCGCCAACATTCTGTTCGGCAAGCCCAAGAGGCTCAGTGGTTTAGACCACAGCACCACCCATGTCCCTCTTGATTAGGTAGAGTGGCTATGCAAGGAGCCTCCATGTTGAGAATGGGACATGTTCTGAATACCAGCAACCAGGCACAAACAGGTTTTCTCTCTCTTGCCCTGCTTGTGAGCTTCCTTGGCTAGCCATGGGGGGGGGGGATGCTAGATGAGCTGTGGGTCTGATTCAGCATGACAATTCTTGCATTCCTCATTTGTACCTGTGGTGATGTACACACATCCCAAGATGCTTGAATAAACCTTGCGTAGTTCAAAATACTAATGCAGGCACATAAAACATAAATGAGGGGGGGGAAGCTTTCAAATATTTCTGTTTGTAAATCCCATTGGTTAGATTTACACGACTAGCATTAATTACGGCAGTGAATGAAATGATTTCATGGGAACTGTTGTAGTGAAATATAAAATCTCAAATGTGGGAAAGTGTTGGATTTCAACCGTGAAGACATGGGTTCAGATTCCTGTTTATTCATGTCACAGAGATCAGTGGGTAGCCTTGGGCAGGTTGCTATTTCTTAGCTTAACCAGAGGGTTGCTGAGAGCATAAAATGGTGAGCTCCTGAGAGGCAGAAGCAACACAAATAGACCAGGGTTCACTTCGCTGCCAATTGGGTATGACGTTTCTCCCCCGTCTTCTGCAGTTTGAACTTGTGCGTATTTCTAAAACTTGACATTGCCGGTCAGTTTAAAAAATAGCAAGAAGAGAATGGGACCAAGAATCTGAAATATCCTTTAATTTATAATGATACAATACAGTGTAGAAATATTTTTCCATGCAAGCCTTTTGGCCATCTAATTAAAAGTTAGAAATTTGAATTCTGACTAAATGTAGGGTGGACATGGATGAATTTCAGTCTTTCTAAAACTTTATGTAATTGCCGACAAGTCATATATTGGGGGGGGGGAAGATGAGTAAAAACTAACTGAAGGGTTTTAAAATAATAATAATCCAGTAGCTGGATTCAAGTTGTTCTCATCTGTAGAGTTGAATAAAGACTGTTCTGGGACAATTTGGGAGAGTTAATTGAATCCAGAAACTCACGCTGAACCCAAATAATAGCTTCAGATGAACTGAAGCCCTGGCTTCAGCAATCAAAAACGGAAATCGGAACAAATACGACTGATTAATCAATGTAACCCTGATTGTAACGCAACTGAAAACAAATGGCAATCTTCCTGCTGCTCCTCTTAAGAGGAGAAGTTGCAAAATGAAATAATTGAGGGACCTCTAGAAATCCATAATAGGTGTAATTTTAAAAAGTATTGCATGGACCGGGAAAAAAGCAGAGGGCAGCACAATGTAGGCAGATCACAATCAAAGAGTCTGTGAATCTCCGAATCCGTTCCTCTTGAACTGGGGCAGTGTGAACTTTATGACACCTGTTGTGTTGTCAAGAATTCAAACATCTTGAAGAACTTACAATAGGATGCAAAAGAAGGCATGGCTCAATGAGCCCAGCTCTCTTCACGTGTTGAAAGTGGAAAGACAAGGCCCCTAGATTGTGTCCCTGGAGTTCTCCACTCTCCCAGACTATACAGAAGGGAAGGGGGAAATGGCTGTGCCTTACTTCTCAACTTTGGATTGAGCCCCAGGGTTTGGAAGATGGAAAAGAGGCTAGAGGAAAACTGAAAAACATGGCATTTCCGCTTGAGAGCAGGGGTAGCCGATGTGGTGCTTTCCTGGTGTTGCTGGACTTCAACTTCCATCATCTGCCCTGACCATTGGGCATGCTGCCTGCAACTGGTGCAAGCTGTAGTCCAACAGCTTCTGGAGGACACAGTGACTGATGGACTAAATGGCTTATGGACCAAAGGGAAGCCCATTGAGGCCCACAGGCCACAGGTTCCCTACCACTAATTTAGCCCCCTCCTTCTAACTTGGAGCCTACTGCTCTGCCCTCCCTTTTTTAAGGTATCAGCCTTTTCGTTGATACCTTGCAGGGGGTTGGACTAGATGGCCCTTGGTATCCCCTCCAACTCTATGATTCTATGCTCAGCACATTGTTCCTGCCCGACCTATCTGTCCCAGTTCTCTCTGCCTTCTGTGGATTTAACCAAAAGCTGTTGGACCAGTCTGAAAGCGTTTATTTGACATTTCTATTTCTGCAATAAACCATGGATTTGATTACACTTGGCACTGGCTCCTTGTCTCATTGCTAATCCTCCCTATTAGGAAGGTTTAGCTATGCAATTGTATAGCATGATTCTTGGTCCAGGACCCTCCTATACACATGCAATCAGTGAAACTTTGTAGATGACAATACAAGGTAATACATGGTTTCCCTGGAACTTGCATATGTCACTGTAGTAGAAGAAGAAGAAGAAGAAGAAGAAGAAGAAGAAGAAGAAGAGGAGGAGGAGGAGGAGGAGGAGTTTGGATTTGATATCCCGCTTTATCACTACCCAAAGGAGTTTCAAAGCGGCTAATATTCTCCTTTCCCTTCCTCCTCCACAACAAACACTCTGTGAGGTGAGACTTCAGAGAAGTGTGACTAGCCCAAGGTCACCCAGAAGCTGCATGTGGAGGAGCGGAGACGTGAACCCGGTTCCCCAGATTACGAGTCTACCGCTCTTAACCACTACACCACACTGGCTAGAACTATCTGCTTGCAGGTGGAATCCCCCTGCAGAGTACTAGAGAGGTACCACAGTGGAAAATTAGTTTTGATACATTCTTTAAACAAAAGAAAAGCCCTGCTAGATCAGAACAAAAAGCCAAGCATCCTGCTTTTTCAGAGTTTCTACCCAGATGCCTATGGGAAGGCCAGAATCATGTCATATTGAAATGATCTAGAACCGGGTGGATAACTTGTGGCACCAACACCCAGATGTTGCTAAACTACAACTCC